AGTATTTTTTTTCTTTACCAATATCCCTGCCTTCAGAAAAATTTCATGTTTTATACTCTTGATCTATTGTGTAAACAGGCTTAAGGGCCGACCACGGCGGAAATTCAAAACAAATGACCCCATGCTTGAGGGTTGTCGCCCCAAAAATAAACGGAATCAAACTACTAACATTTCGAGACCATAAGACCTTAAAGGCAATCCTCGACTTTACAGGCCACGGCCACCCCACTCGGGGACTGATACTTCGGGCAAGCTCGAAGTGAAACGGAAGATAAGCCCAAAAGGGCAAGTTCTTAACTAAAGAGGCTACGACCAAATTAAAACCTCGAAGAGGTACCCCCGATATACAGGCCAAGGCCATCGTACTTGGAGACTAAATTTTCGAACAAGTTCGAAAGGTTATCGGGAAACAAGTCCAAGAGACATACCCGAAGGCTACGGCCATATTAAAGGCTACAGCCATATTAAAGGCTACGGCAATAGTAAAGCTACGGTCATATAAAAAGGTTACGGCCGAAATAATGCGGCTCGGAGACGTCCGACATCCGCCATAAATTAAAGGCCTTCAAACACTTTGAAAAACCGGTTAAGTCAGGCTACCCTCGGCAAAAGCAAATGATAAAGGGCTTCGATAACATCAGCCCTCGAATAATTTAAAAGGCTTCGATAACATCAACCTTCGAAAAAGCCTCAAGAGGTATTCGATTATCGTTACACAAACGAATTACAAATAAGGTTCCGATCGATCGAACCTTCGAAAAACCCAATGGGTACAGAAAACACATGCTAAGGCATGGAAATTTTTTTCACTAAGTCTTTTAGCCGAAGAGAGGGAAAAATAATAGCCGTTTTTAGAGGCCGAATTGGCCCGACCCAAAAGAGCCTAAGGGCCGATCTAAAGAGCCTAAGGGCCAATATAAAAAAGCCTAACGGCTGACTTTATTTCGAGTTCGAGCAAGCACTCACTCGACTACTAAGCCCAAGGGCTATCCGAGTTCGAGCAAATCCTCATTCGGGACTATCTATAAAGTCTAAGGGCTGACTTTATTTCGATTTCGAGCAAGCAATCACTCGACTACTAAGCCCAAGGGCTATCCGAGTTCGAGCAAATCCTCACTCGGGGACTATCTATAAAGCCTAAGGGCTGACTTTATTTCAAGTTCGAGCAAGCGCTCACTCGGCTACTAAGCCCAAGGGCTATCCGAGTTCGAGCAAATCCTCACTCGGGGACTATCTATAAAGCCTAAGCGTTGACTTTATTTCGAGTTCGAGCAAGCACTCACTCGACTACTAAGCCCAAGGGCTATCCGAGTTCGAGCAAATCCTCACTCGGGGACTATCTATAAGGCCTAAAGGTTGACTTTATTTCGAGTTCGAGCAAGCACTCACTCGACTACTACGCCCAAGGGCTATCCGAGTTCGAGAAAATCCTCACTCGGGGACTATCTATAAAGCCTTAGGGCTAACTTTACTTCGAGTTCGAGCAAATCCTCACTCGACTACAAAGACTAAGGGTTACTTTTCATTTAAGTTCGAGCATATACTCACTCAACCATCGAGCCCAAGGGCTACCTTACCTCATCGACTGTTTGGCCTAAGAGCTACTCAAACTCTAGTTCAAATGGTCATTCAGGGTCCATCGATCAGAAATGGTCGAGGGCAGTATTTATTGTAGGTCATTCCCATCTCAAAACTTTGGACATTCAAAGGGGATTTTATGCTAAGGCGCTTTGACCTGCACGAAGGGTGAGCAGATTCAGAAGCCATGGAAGGAAAGAAGCTTTATATAAACCTTTTTACAAGTACTGTGGGTCACGATCAAGAGTTCCTCACAAGGGCCGATCAGCCTCAAAAGCAGAAAGTTACGAAGAACACGAAGCCTAAGCAGCACGATCCTTATCGGCAGAAGTGTCTTCATCCTCAGAATCTTCTCCACCGCCGGACTCGCTAGAGTTCTCAGAGTCTTCCTCGGGAAAGGCTGGCTTCCAAGCTTTTGTTCCATCAGTCGCTTACGTCACGATGATGATGTCGTGACAAATCGGGGTAAAGTCAAGGACTCAATTCGTTTCTTGTCATTATACTCCAAAAAAACGAGGGGACTATCTGCATACAGTAGAAATCGGGGCTACCCGATTTCATAGGCTCGAGGATCACTTTAAGTGCGAGTCCGAAATGGATTGGGTCCGAGCTTGATGGCAGAGTTCGAAGCTCGAAGATCAGAGTGTCCGATGAATATTAAGGCGGAGCGTGACCAGCCTCGAGATAATGTCGTTGTGTTTTTGTAACAGAAAGGCAAGATTCCCGCAATGTCCCCAAGATCATGGCGCAAATCCCGGAATAGGATTGTACGATTCCGTACTAGGCGGTTAGACAGTTGTATCAAGAATATTCCTTACTATAATTAGAAATATGCCTTATTTAGGGTTCCCCTATTATATAAAGGGGACCCCAATCATTTGTAGCATCATCTCATCATTGGCAAGAATATACTATCTTACTTTTCTCTCTTACTATTCATCAGAATTGTCCTTTAGCTCTACTGCTCTTACTTTACTTTTCTTGCTTAATTCTTCTTATTGCTCTGAACCTACCTCGAGGTCACGAAGCTCGAGGTCACCGCTGCTGAGTAACTTTGGTTTGATTCACTTGTTTCTTTCATTTCTACTTCATATTTCTTGATTATTAATTGGTATTGAATCTAATTACATATCTTTAAAATCACAATCAAATTTAATTGTTACTCGTATTTTCGAGGCAAACTGTTTGGCGCCCACGAGCGGCTGAGGAAAATTCACATTTAAACATTCTTCACTGTAAAGCACTTTGTAGATAACTAGTTATATTGGTAATTATATAGAAATCATAGAAAGCTTTTAGTGTTAGAGCTTGAATTTTTAATTTAATATTGGATAGAGACAATTTTAAATGGAGTGATGCTGATAGAAGCAATGACAGAGCTCCTTGAAATCGCCATCATCAAATGCGATTTATAAATCGCAATCTACCTATGCGACTTAAAAATATTGATTGTGTATAACTTGTTGAATCGCCTTTCATAAGAGAAAATTCTAGTAAAGTGGTAAAGGGGGCAATGCCACGTGCTCTTATTTTACGACGGTAGGGACGATTGCTTCCATTGCTGACCAGAAAGACACCAAATTCTCGTTTTTGTGCTTCAGCTGCGATATAGGTTGAAGGAGCTGGTATGGAAAAATTGAAACACCTTAGTCAGCGGAAGAAGTCACTCTCAATCTGATCTAGCAAAATGCTTTACCGGTAAAGTAGCGAGAGACAGTCGATCGTTTCTTAGGGTTCCAAGTAATTCAACCAGTGCCAAGAAAACTATCCAGTTGTGACAGGCTCTTGCAAGAAATCTATGTGCAGGCAAGAGAAGTTGCCCGTGAGCAGGGAGGAATGCGAGACGAACTCATGCTGGAAAAACTCGTCGACGCTATCAATTATCTTGCAGACGTGGACGAGTTGCCCGAGGAGAAACGAAAAATTGCTACTTCAGAATTCTCTTGTATAAATTCTAGCTCTGCACTAAACAACATGTTGTTATTGTTTTTTTTTTTTTCTGTATATTTGATTATATATTGACAATATAATCATGTCACTTTGATAGACTTTACCACTTACTAGGACACTTGCAATATTTTATGGGTTGTTAAAGTGTAGACTTAGGGGTCGTTTGGTATGATGCATTAGAGAAAATAATATATGCATTAGTCTTTAGTATTATTAATTCTTTGTTTGGTACACTTTTTTAGTTTATGTATCAGTAATGCAAATATTAGTTATACAACTTATTTGGTATTAGCCTATGTATAACTAATACATAGCAAACCATAGCATTAGTAATACCAAGACTTTTAATGCATGCATTAGTATGGTTAAAGATAAAATTATCTTTAAAGTCCCTTAAAGCTAAATAATATGGAGGACATTTTTGTAAATAACTATTTTTCTTAAAAATCATGCAATGCATTATAATTTGTAATACACCACACCAAACAATGTATAAGAAATAATTTCTGCATTACTAACACATGCATTACTAATACGCATTTAGAGATGGCAAACGAGCGGGTCAGGTCGGATATGGTATAGGTCGAAACGGGTAATAAAAAACGGATAAATTATCCGATCCGACCTATATTTAATACGAATAAAAAACGGGTTAACTAGCGGATAATATGGGTAACCATATTATTCATGACTTCTTGAATATGATTGCTTTTAGGAGAATTCCTAGTCTCCCAAACTTGAGGAACCCCTCAATTTGAGGTTTTATAAATGTAAAAGTTAAACTATTGGTTATTCATTTTCTAAATGGATAATATGGTTCTTATTCATATTTGACCCATTTTTAAAAAGTTCATTATCCAACCAATTTTTTATTGGATAATATGGATAGTTAACTATTTTCTTTTAACCATTTTGCTACCACTATACACCTTATTCGGTACTATTCTTGTACGCCCTACCAAATGACCCCTACCTATAGTGGCTTTCATGTACAGCAAATATGAAGTTTGACTACATTCATTTCACTGACATAGAATAGACCTTCTCATTTTTCAAATACAAGAGTCAGATGGTACTAGACTAGTAGCCTAGCCCCAGAAAACGAAGGCCATGTTAACCTATCACAAGAAAAAAGACGTTTCCATTTCATTGCCTAACAAGTGTTCCCTTTACACTCTTCTCTCCCTTTGAGTATTCTTTGTCACTTCCATTAATGATCTTTCTCTCTGACCCTTCGTTATATACTGTGTGTTTCACATTTTTTTTTTTTATGAAGGGAAGCTTTTGCGTAACTGATAAAATTATTATCATGTGAACACTTGCAGAAATGCAGGGTAAGGCCGCATACAATAGACCTTGTAGTTCGGCGAGCGTAGTGCACCGGGTGGTATCTAAGTAAGCTTGCGCACGTCTCGACTATTCCATCGAATACTTACTATCTTCGACCATCTTAAGTATCGGATAACTCTGTCCACCAATGCTTAATAATGTGTGTTTTACATGTATCGTGTGTGTTGGTTTTGTCATCTTGTATTTATGAATGCTCTGAAATTTCATGATCCTCCCATTAACTGCTCTTCTCTTTCATATTTAATGCATCTCCTGTAGTTCTCTTTTATTCAATCCTGTAAGTGAAGGGGTCCCAAGAATTTATGTTAGTAAATGTAGAGTCATTGCACCTGCTATTTTTCTGTGATAAAAATGGATTCGAGTTCAGTGTTTTTATTGTAATTTTTCAAAAAATTCCTGATATATATAATTCAAGTCAAGAGAAGTATTTATCTGCTTATAAGTTTGTCCATAGCAAGGGTAATAGATAACCATCTCCTCCTAATAATGGGACTAAAAGTGAAAAAGAAAACTTATTTTTGTACCTCATAGTTAAACTGTACATTAGGTGTCAAATGTACTGCTACATCCCCATATTTAAATTAGATGCCATTTTGATAGAATGATTTATCAGTTACTCCCTCCATTTCATTTCATATAGCACTATTGACTGACATAAAGTTTAAGAAAGAAAGGATAACCTTTTGACATGTGTGATCTAATTGGGGTGAGATGATCATGAAGGACATGGCACATTTTCAGCTTACCAATGACATTGACCCTCGAGAGGAGGGCGTGGAGATCGAGGTTTAAGGTAGTGGGTTAGTAGTGGAGTGTTTTTCTTTTCCCTATCTGTATCTCTTTCCCTCAATTTTTAGCACTAGTGTTATTGTCGTATTTCTCATTCTTTGATATTATTATTAGCTGTTGTTTATTTTGCTTCGATTATCTTATTTTGCTGGTTGTTGTTACTGTTTCTCTTTCTACTTCCATATTTCTTTGTCGTCTGTTGTGACTATGCTTTCTTTGACCCGAGGGCCTACCAGAAACAGTCTCTCTACCTTTACAAGGTAGGGGTAAGGTCTGCGTACACACTATCCTCCCGAGACCCCACTTGGGAGATTACACTAGGTATCTAATTGTTATTGTGTATATCTGTTTCTCTAAGTACATGTCATTGAAAGTAAAATGAGAATTTATTGTTAGACTGTTTTCAAATATAACAAACTAAAGAAAAGATTTCATAAAACTGAACAGAGGTAACTTTTTATACAGTAGAAAGGCCAAAGAAGCTAAAGGCTTCCAAATAAATCCTAAGCTAAATTGGTGCTAACAAATAACCAATTTGTATTGAAAAGGATAGCAAATGACAACATTGACATAGGAAGACTTGTTTCTTTTAACTATGTTATGCAAACTCTTCCAAAATACTGTCGCATCCGTGTCAAATCCTCTTAAAATACATTACTTTTGAAGGATCCGACACACGCCCACGACATTTTTGGAGGTCCGAGCAACATAGCTTTTAACCGATTTGCCTTAATGAAGAGCCTATTCATGTGTAGTTAGATTCTATACCTTGACTCTAAGAAATTACACTGTAGATAGATACACATGTAGTACTTAAGTTGTCTACGCATTTATTTCTGATACATAGTGTCAATATAGACTTTCACAGACAAGATACTAGTACTTGTTGACCAATTGTTGCTTTTATTTCTCTGTTCTCAATCTAAAGACAGAGTTAAGTCTATGCTGATTTCAATTGGATTAAATGCTCACTATACATTTTTGTGGGGTTTCTCTATTTTTCTCTATATATATTTGTCTGTGCACTGTGCATTTAACCAAAAGCTTTTGCTATCCAATACTATCTCAGATCAGATTCTCAAACCTCAAGAATTGAAGATTAGGCATGCATTCAATGCAACTTTCTTGTTCTATTGCATCAATCATTCAATTTTTCTTGTAGCATGTGACCTATGTATACATTTATTTACACTAACAATAGTAGTGGTATCTCTTTAGACATCATATCATGGCATTAAATGCATGGCCAGCTTAAGAGCTGTTGATGCTTTTACCCTATTGATATATGACCTACAATTTGTACTGTTACTCCATTTGACATGTCCATTTTCTTTTTTTCCCCTCACTCAGAAAAAGACTGAAGGGAGCACTGATGCTTGCATTAGAGTAGGTTGTCTACATCACATTCCATTCGGGTGCGGCCTTTTCTCGGACCCTACGTGAACGCGAGATGGTTTACGCACCGTCCTGCCATTTTACTCATAAAAAGACTCCTGCTTTCATAGCTTAAAGACCTGTTTTTCAAGGTAAACATTGAGAAACAAATACAAAGGACTTGAGTGTGTGTGTGTGTGAGAGAGAGAGATGGGAAGAACACCATGTTGTGATAAGAAAGGTTTAAAGAAAGGACCATGGACACCTGAGGAAGATGAAAAGCTTGTTGAATATATCAAGAAACATGGTCATGGTAGCTGGCGTTCTCTTCCAAATCTTGCAGGTTTGTTCACTCTTCTCTTTTGTGTGCATATCCTTAGTTATGTTCTGTGGAAAAACAAAAAACTTTTGTACATAACTACTGGTCAACTGATCTTGAAGTCTTACTTTCCAAGCTACTAATGAATTGCTTTGTTTTAGACTCCTTTAAGATTGTAAGGGAAACATGCCTAGAAGCTAGATGATGCAATATGTCAATTAGAATTCTTTGAACCTAAATGTTAGCTTGTGGTTGGCAGCATTATTGAACGGCCTATCTTGTTTGTGTCTGTGTTTATGTGGTAAGAAGAAGGGAAGTGAGGAAATACTTCCTATTTCCAACTTTGGATGAAGTGAACTAAAAGAGGAAAGTGAAGCAGCCATTTGTTTCTCTACTCTATTAATGAGCATTGGAGTTTTCTTTTCATGTTAATGGTGATGAGGATAGGGTGAATTTCCTCTGCTTTTACTATCCAGGTTCAAATATTTAGTCATTGCAAGTATCATGTTCACTCATTGGAAAAATAGGTCACATTATGGTAACTATATCAAAGAAAAATCAGCTTTCCGGCAGATACTGTATACAAGAATTCACCTTGCACTTTTTGGGATGAATTTGGTACATGGTGTGTACATATTCAGATATCAAATGGGCATTGATTAAGTTATGTAACATGTCTAAAATGCTAAATTGCTGGATCTTGGTCAGTAATACAGATTCATTTACTTCATTGTTGTTTTATGGTTTAATTGTTATTATGGATGTAAGATTTCTTTTACTAGAACACATTGACAATGGAAATGAAGGAAAGAAAAGTATTACTAATGTCTGAGATAAGTTTGTTGTAATTTTTTTTCTTTTAGGTCTTCTTCGTTGTGGGAAGAGTTGTCGTCTTAGATGGACAAATTATCTCAGGCCAGACATCAAAAGAGGTCCCTTTAGCCCTGAAGAAGAAAAGCTTGTAATACAGTTACATGGCATTCTTGGCAACAGGTGATAGTATGAAACTTTCATCTTGATACATCTATATGAATGACATTTCCACTGGTCTTCAACTTTACCCCTTTGTCTGCTTAAAAATATTTTTTTTTGGTATTCTCTGAAAAATTGATAGAAGGGGAGCTTTGGCGTAACTGGTAAAGTTACTGTCATGTGACCAAGCGGTCATGTGTTCGAGCCGTGGGAAATAACCTCTTGTAGAATTATAGAGTAAGGTTGCGTACGATAGACCCTTGTGGTCCGGCCCTTTCCCGGACCCCGCGCATAGCGAGAGCTTAGTGCACTGGACTGCCTTTTTTTTTTTCTCTGAAAAATTGATAAGCTACTAGAATCTATTTGGAGTTTCTTGTTAGTAATTTCTCAGAGTTTCTGCAACAAATAGAACATCAATTTGATCCATGTATGCCAAGTAATCAAAATTGAACTTTTGTCCAGTATTAGGGAACCTAGTCCAGTGTAGTTTCACAGAATCTGTATCTGGAATTTTACTTGTATAACTATGAATAACTATGAAACTGAATCTCTATCCAGATGGGCTGCAATCGCATCGCAACTTCCTGGAAGGACGGACAATGAGATAAAGAACTTATGGAATACTCACCTGAAGAAACGCCTATTTTCTATGGGCATTGATCCTCTGACTCATGAACCCTCTAATGGGCTGCTGAGAAGACCGCCTACATCAACTTCAGCCCGTCACATGGCACAATGGGAAAGTGCAAGGCTCGAAGCTGAAGCTCGTCTCTCCAGGGAATCGCAACTCTTGGTTCCATCATCAGCAGGAAGGTCTGAGACCGACTATTTTTTACGCATATGGAATTCAGAGATAGGAGAAGCATTTAGGAAATTCAAGACAGAAGACAAGTGTCAAAGTCCAGCCTCTCAAATATCTTCATCTACAAAATATGGATCTGCTTCAGGCATCACAACTGAGATGGACCTTACTTTTGCTGAAGATACCGAGTGGAAGGACAGCCAACCATATACTGAAGATATATTGCAAGGATCTGACACCTCTAGCTCCAGTGAATTGGAGGATTCATCTGAATCAGCATTGCAACTTCTTTTGGATTTCCCGAGTAGCAATGACATGAGCTTTCTTGGCTTTTTGAGTGAGAGTTCCTTGAACTGCTCCTTAGCAGACCATAGAGTTGGCTTTCTCTAAATATGGTGGTCGTGGAAGCCTAAATTGTCGAAAATTTTCTGTTTAGTAGGTCAGATGCAGAAAAGGTTTGTATTTCGACTCATTATGTATTAATGTTATAGTAATAGAGCCATCTTATGTGTTATTGTAAGCCAGAAATGTCGGGCAAATTTAGGCCTCGTGGCATGGCATGTTTCTTTTTTGCAACTATCGCCACGTTTGGAGCATATTTTCTGTAAGTTAGTACATCTTTTGAGTAGCTAAAACAAGGGAGAAAATGCTGGCTTTTGTGAAAACTTCTCAAGTGGATTTATTATCATTGACACACTGAATTCTTTAGAGCACAAGAGTGTTTTTCCTATGCAGACTAGTAAGATCCTTTACAGACTAGAAGCATACAACAAAACTGGACGCGTAAAAGAATACACACTAAAAAGCAGCAAGCATGAAAATATACAAGGGAAAAGCTTTAATCATCCAACACATCCAAGTAACTTCTTAGGAGTTTGTCCTGTGGCGCGATATTTGGCAGCCATCTCCTCCGTTTTAAGAATTTGTTCCCCTCGTTTAGCTTCAACCATCGCTTTCTTCTCCTCTGCCTCTTTGTGAATTAAAGCTGCTCTATTTTTCATCTTTTCTGCATATTCTGCTTTCTTTTGCTCTAATCTTTCCTGCAAATTCCACAAGCTTATCAGCATTGCTGAAAAGTCTATGGTTAAATAACATTTGACTCAATGGTATCCTAAACTAAACCACATGGATTGTTCCATGCCATGCAACAACAACAACAAATGCAGCAAATTCCCACAAGTGGAGTCTGGGGGAGGGTAGCGTGTACGCAGACTTTAACCCTACCCTGGGAGGGCAGAGAGGCTGTTCCATGCCATGCATTTTCAGGAAAACGATTTCATGGAAAATGACTTCTGTCATATCGAACACACGTTGCAAGTCCTTATAAAGCGCTTGTATTTTAAGAGGCACTTCAGAACAATTCCAAATTGAGAAATTTTTTGCCAATACTTTCCTCTTTGTAGGATGTAATGTCAAAAATTGTGTTGAAAATGCGAATACTAGTTTGTGCATATTTACCTCAAGTTTTTTCAGTTTAGCTTCAAGATGTGCTTTCTTGCTGTTTTCCCATGCTGCAACTTTAGAGAGCTTCTTTTGGGCCCTATTCAATCACGCAGACAATGTTAACATGACTTTGAGCAATTGAATTGCTCGACAGCTTTTATACAACTAAAAGAGTATACAAAAATTGGTCTACTTATATAGCAAGTTAGAAATCCTACTTGTTATCCACTCTGCTTTTTTCACTCTCTTCCCATGCCTTGATAAAAGCAGACTTCTTGTCATTATTAAGCTGCGCAAGAGCAGTATCTAAGGAAAAAAAAAACAAGAAACAGGACACTTGTTAGCTTCTGAGATGTGAATAAAGTCATTCAGTTGGAGAATTTGGTAACTAAACATTAGAGCATCAAACTGAACTTCCAAAAACCAGATAGGGCAGCCTTGTGCATTAAGCTCCCGCTATGCGCGGGGTCCAGGAAAGGGCCGGACTACAAGGGTTTATTGTACACAGCCTTACCTTGCATTTCTGCAAGGGGTTGTTTCCACTGCGCGATCTCCTGGTCACATGGCAGCAACTTTACTAGTTACGCCTCCATTTCAACTTCCAAAAACCAGATATTCAAAGAAATTTAAGACTTTTCGCACCATTAGTTTTGACTCCTTAGGACATTATAGCAGAAGTAGAAGCACTTCCTACTATTGTTTTGTGTTACAACAACAACATACTCAGTAATATCCCACACCTTCATCTGGGGAGAGTAGTGTGTACGCAGACCTTACCCCTACCTTGTGAGGATAGAGAGGTTGTTTCAAATAGACCCTCGGCTCAGGAAAGCATTGTTTTGTGTTACAATGTTGTAAAAAGTGGTTAAGGTCTAGTCCGCGATATATACATACCTCTGTCGAGGGATCCTTTTGAGTTTTTCGTTGATGGATTCGTCTCTGTCAAGGTAAGGAAATGACAACATGTTTAGATTTCTCAAAATTTTGGTAATTATATGATTAATTAGACAAGGTCTACACAGAATATGGTCCTAGATAACTAGAGAAAAGGTAGCTTGGTGCACTAAGCTCCCGCTATGCATGGGGTTTGGGGAAGGGCCGGACCACAAGTGTCTATTGTACGCAACCTTACCATGCATTTCTGCGAGAGGTTGTTTCTATGACTCGAACCCATGACCTCCTAGTCACATGGCAGTAACTTTACCAGTTACGCCATTGGAATTCATAACTAGAAAACAAGAAAATCACGTGTTTTCCTTTGTACTAATAATGCATGCAGGAAACAACAACAACAACAACCCAGTGTATATATTCCCACAAGTGTGGTTTGGAGAGCCTTACCCTACCCCGGAAGGATAGAGAGACCGTTTCCGGTAGACCCTAAACCGAAATCAAGAAATCAAGAAACCGAAAACACATGCAGATATGCATAGAGAGAGAGAATATTGAATGATTTACTTTTAGGTGGTGGCATGGTGGTGACAGCTTTAGAGTTGTTGGTGGCCATTGCTATTGCTGTTGTGTGGCTTCCATTTTGGCAATTATATAGATAGACAAAAGAGGTGATTTCCAAAAATATAATTGGGAAATCAAATTCACTATTACAATATTCAAAAATGAAGGAAAAGGAGAAAAAGAATTGAAGTGCTTTATGTTCTTTCTATTGCATGTTGCATTTAAAAAGAAAGAAGGTGAAGAAGGAGCTTTTCTTCTCCAAAGCCTAAAGATGGTTGTTTTCTTTATTAAGATATGATAGTATATTATTTAGTGTTCAGAACTTTATGGTTCCATTTATTTAGGGGTAGAAAAAGTGTAGAGAACGTGTGTTCTACGATCAATGACTATTATGAAGTAATCAACATTTAGTGAAACAATGGCAGGGAGTAAAATACGCGAGTCAAAGTTTTTAATTTTAATATCAATTCATATTTTTTTTAGTTTTTAAATTGAAAATGCGTTCTTTATATGATTAATTTTACTCACCACGCAAAGATTTAAGAGAGAAAGTAAAATATTTGAAGCTTGCATCATCGTAAGGCTTGTTGGAAAACCCGTTGTCGGAGTTGATTAATCGCCCTTTGCTGTTCAAACTGAATCGTATCGTTTTTGTAATTTTTTAATTGTTCCAAAGTCTTATAAGTTGAATTAATCAACTTCAGTTTTTCTCGTTCTATTTCGGAGTATCTGTTCACTAGAAACTACTCGGCTTCGGTTTCTACTTTCGTAAGTGAGAACGAGATTTTGTTCAGTTTTAAATATGTATTTGTAAGACTTATGATTTTAAATATACTTTAACATTTATTTGGCTATAACAACTTTTAAATAAGACTAAAATGAAGAGCTTAACCTTAACTCGCTTCAAAAAATAGAAATTTATCGTTCTATTTTAGCACAACTAGTAAAGAAATGATGTCAAGTAAAAAGGAAAAGGATCAGAAGTTGCACCTCTCTCTCTAGTTAGGTTGTGATCTACTAGTTATAACGTTTTCTTTCCTAAGATTTTTATTACTGTAGTTGTTTTGACGCGATTTTAAGCAAAAAGACCCTAAATTTCCAAATAACTTTTTTGGTCGAAATTTCTTATTTTGTAAGTGCGCTGAGCCACTTTTTAAACATAAAAAACTTACAAAACATAAAAAATCATGATTCTCCAAACATATTTTCCTTTTGCACAAATGTTTGTTAAAAAATGTTAAAGAAACTTTTGTCAAAAGATACGTCTATACCTTCTTTTTTCATGTGGTCTCACGTCTTTTTCTTTTCAATTATTGTTAAATCAAATAATTCAACGTGTTTACTTTTAGAAAAATATATGAAGGCAATAGAGAACCAATTAATTCCTTTTTTTTTTTTAATTATTATTATTTCACTAAGTGCTAGTAGCGCTGTAAAGGAGTTCAAAATCCCGTATGCAGATGCTTAGAATTAATCAGTTTTTTCTCTTTTCCTTTGAGCTCAATTCATTTACTATATATTTAAAATATTTTAAAATGAAAAACAAGAAGAAAAATCTCTACCTCTCTCGTAAGTCGTTCTTCTGAATTATTCTCATAACTAGATAGAACACAAGAAAAATATTTACATTTGATATCCTTGTATACTGTAAAAATTGGGGCTGCCCGATTTCGGTCTTCGATGGAAAAAGTGATATCACGTCGGAAGACCAGAACGTCGAGCTCGGGGTCGAAGTTCCTTTCCGAGGTCATGGTCGATAACACTTACCGAGGTCAGAAGAAGGCATGCTTCGAGGTGATGCCGGTATGAGTCGATAACGAAAAGAGCGAGATACCCGCAACGGGCCGGAGATCACGGCGTAAATTTCGGAATGGATTGATCTTCAGCGATTAAATAGTTGTCAAATATGATTTCCTACTATAATTGGAAGTGTACCTTATTTAGGACTCCCCTATTATATAAACGGGAGATCCCATCCATTTGTAACACATTGGTCATTGCTCATTGATAAGAAATTATACGCTTGCTATTCTCTTGCAATTTTATTCACTGTTCATCAGAGTTGTTAATTCATTTGTTCTTCCCATTATCATACTTCGAGGCGGTCACAGCTCGAAGTCGAGATTTAGCTTACACACTGGTTTGATCTACTTTATTCTTAATTTATCTATTTAATTCCTTATTTATCAACTGGCATTGAATTAAATCACATATCCTTAAAACCACAATACAAGTTTAATTGTTACTCGAACTCTAGGGTAAACAGTTTGGCGCCCACCGTGGGGCTAAGGATAATAGTATTGTTTCAGTGCTGATTCTGATAACACACGTTATTTTCACACTTGTTCTTGTCAAGTATTTTCGCTCTCAGGTTAAAGCATGTAAAACTCACAAAACGCACCTGTACATGGGGATGATGGTCTCGAATTTCACGGGGGAAATGACAATGTAATTGCCCCAGGATCCGGAGTGCCACCGGCTAATCTCGGGGGAGTACCGGTCGCCAATCCAGTTGACATCAGTTCGCACGTTGCTCTAAATGCGGACCTAGGCGCGGACCCCGAAGGGAGTGTATGTAGTGAAGGCCGATCTGGTGGCCAAGGTACACAGGGCAGAGAAGACGGGGGACTTAGCCTTCAAGTAATATTCGAGATGCTACAAGCTCAGCAGGCCGCTATTGCTCAATTGCAAAATCAACATAGGACTCCAAGTGTGGTCGAGCCAGAAATCACTCGCCGTGCCAAGCCAGTGCCAGAAAGGTCGAATTGTAACGAATTAAGGACTGATCTTGCAATTATGAAAATGCTCGAGGAGCTCACCCAAAAAATTGAGACGGGGGAGAAAACAATTGAAGATAATGATGAATAGCTAGAAACATACAACTCCCGAATTGATCAAATACCGGGGGCACCCCCCGAACCTAAAGGGATTGGATTCGAAAAAGTTCGTGCAAAAACCTTTTCCTCGGAGTGCGGCTCTGAAACCCATTCCTAAGAAGTTCCGTATGTCGGATATACCTAAATACAACGGGACCACTGATCCTAATGAACACGTCACTTCGTACACATGCAGAATTAAAGGAAATAATTTAGATGATGATGAGATTGAGTCCGTTTTGTTGAAAAAATTTGGGGAGACTTTGTCAAAGGGAGCAATAATTTGGTATCACAACCTGCCACCAAATTCCATCGACTCATTTGCCATGTTAGCAGACTCCTTCGTGAAGGCACACGCCAGGGCCATAAAGGTCGCAACAAGAAAATCGGACGTTTTTAAGATGAGACAAAGGATAATGAAATGCTGAGGGAGTTCGTATCACAATTTCAAATGGAACGCATGGAGTTGCCATCGATCACAGATGATTGGGCCGTTCAAGCTTTAACCCAAGGGTTGAACGAGCCGAGTTCGATAGCATCACGACAGTTAAAACAAAATTTGGTCGAGTGGCCAGCTGTAACTTGCGCAGATGTGCACAATCGATATCAATCGAAGATCAGGGTCGAGGACGACCAATTAGGAGCCCTTTTCGGTTCAGTACATCCTAACAGGTTGGCAGTTAAAACCTCGAGAGACGTCGACAGATAGCCAAGGTCGAACAGAGAATGATATCAACCATATACGTGGGTCGAAGGAACAATGGTTCAGGACGCAATCCCTCCCGGAACGATCGAAGAAGCGATCAGGGGCAGAATTCTCGGGGACTTATGAGCAAAAGTGGTTTTGATAAGTATGCCGATCCCGTGGAGGCACCTCGTTTATCGGAGTATAACTTCAGCATCGACGCATCGGGCATTGTATCGACAATCGGCAGGATCAAAGATACTAGGTGTCCCAGACCCATACAGACTGATCCTTCCCAAAGAAACCCAAATTTGATGTGCAAGTATCATGGCACACATGGTTACAAAATCGAGGATTGCAGGCAACTGAGGGAAGAGGTAGCCCGTCTATTCAACGAGGATCACCTTCGAGAGTTCCTCAGCGATCGAGCTAAGAATCTTTTCAGGGAAAGAGACGCCAATAGGAAAAATGAACAGGAGGAACCCCAACATGTCATTCATATGATCGTCGGTGGGATCGATGTCCCACAGGGACCCATATTCAAACGCACTAAGGTGTTAATCACTAGGGAAAAACGAACCCGAGATTATGTGCCCGAAGGCTCCTTATCATTCAACGACGAAGAAGCAGAAGGCATTTCTCAGCCACACAACGATGCTCTGGTAATTTCTATCTTATTAAATAAAGTTCAAGTTAAGGGTGTTTTAGTGGATCCAGGTAGCTCAGCAAATATCATCCGATCGAGGGTCGTGGAGCAACTCGGCCTACAAGATCGAATAGTGCCCGCAGCTCGGGTCTTAAACGACTTCAACATGGCCAGTGAAACAACTAAAGGGGAGATTATTTTACCAGTGAACGTAGCTGGAATCATCCAAGATACCGAATTCCACGTAATCGAGAGCGACATGAGGTATAATGCCCTACTCGGAAGGCCTTGGATCCACAACATGAGGGCAATCCCCTCGACCCTCCACCAAATGATGAAAATTTCTGACGACGGACGGTGTAAAAACAATCTACAGGGAGCAACATGCTGCAAAGGAAATGTTTGCGATCGATGAGGTAACACCGATATCAACACTATCAACTTCGGACAGGTCGAGTATCAAAGGTAAACAAGAAGCCAAATAGCAATCTCAGCTTCCAGCCTCGACCAAATCGGGGAAACAGGAGATAGAAGAAGAAGAGGAGGATTTTCTGACCCCTCGAACCTTTATTGTCCCTAAAGACTCTGACGCCACCAAATCAACGGTCGAAGAGCTGGAACATGTTATAGTGATCGAACATCTGCCCGAGCGAAAGGTATACCTGGGAACGGGGTTAACCCCTGAACTCAGGAAAAAGCTTATTCAATTTCTTATTGATAACATGGATTGTTTTGCTTGGTCCCATTTAGATATGACAGGGATTCCATCGGAGATAATGACGCATCGGCTAAGCCTTGACCCCAGGTTCAAACCGGTGAAACAAAAGAGAAGGCCCCAGTCCGAGGTAAAGCATGCATTCATAAAGGACAAGGTAACTAAACTTCTCAAAATAGGGTCCATTCGGGAAGTAAAATGTCCCGAATTGGTAGCCAATGTAGTCGTAGTCCCTAAAAAAGGGAACAAACTTAGAATGTGTGTAGACTATAAAGATTTAAACAAGGCATGCCCCGAAGATTCTTTTTCACTGCCTAACATCGATCGCATGATCGACGCCACGGCTGGCCGCGAGATCCTTACCTT